CCCACTACTCCAGGTATTCTCGCCCACTACTTGAATAGCCCTCCGCCTGTTACTCAGTTCGCCCCGCTCACTACTCTCCAGGTAGCCCCGCCCACTATTCACATAGCCCCGCCCACTACCCCAGGTAGCCACGCCCACTATTCACATAGCCCCGCTCACTACTTCAGGTAGCCCCGCTCACTACTTCAGGTAGCCCCGCCCACTGCTCGTATTCAATGTCGTGAACTGGATCGAGCGACTTTTTTGGGTTTCCTAGCAAAGAGAATAGCCTCGAAGCAATTCGCGACTTCGCGCGACGAGGTCACGTGTGAGTGTGTGCCACTGCATGGGTAAATTCTCTCGTGACACGTTGAGGATCATGTATGTGTGTGTACGCTATGTTTAACTTATTTCGCTACCAACCGTGCGAATCGGATGTGCGGGGGAAGGACAACAAACTAAACACACAAAAAAATCAGTTGTAAAGAAATGAATTTTCAATCTAGATTTAAAAGTTCATATATCCAGCGGCTTCCCGTGTCAGTTCACGAAGTTGTAATACGCGGGCAAATGATCCCGTGACATTTGAGCGAATTGATAAGGTCTACCTAGCAACGTATTATTCGTTTGGTGATTTTCCGATTTAACGAGTTGGCAACACGACCCAAAAACCACGAGTCGGGAACGAGTCCAAAACGTTTTTAAAAACCGGCCCGAAAACAAAGCAACTCCAAGTTTCTCAAACGCTGAGTGACACCGGCACAACCTTTCTGAACTTCCATATGTTCAGCCGTGGCTTGATTTGTGGTCTGGACTTCCCCCGTTCATAATCTCCCCCCCCCACCACCCCCGAATATCTGGCTTAGCTGCGATGTTGCGACTTTGCAGACACTTGCAGATAATCTCCAAATCTTTCCAGTTGTCTGCCCGGAAAAAGGCAAACCTCAAACCACATGAGTCCTATGATCCCCATAGCTCCAAGGAAAGCTAGACAATATATCGCCTATTCTTAGCTCTTTCGGTAAAGTCACGTTGAAGGGAAACAGTAAAATAATAAAATATATAAAACAATAAAAATTCTCACGACGTTTCGACCATAACACAAACGGTCATCATCAGGTCTGAAAACCAACGTTTGTGTTATGGTCGAAACGTCGTGAGAATTTTTATTGTTTTATATATATTTTATTATTTTATTGTTTCCCTTCAACGTGACTTTACCGAAAGAGCTAAGAATATGAATTACTGCAGTCACGAAAGCTTTAAATAAAAACAAATATATATCGCTTACGCAGCAGTACAAACCCCCCTCCCTTCCAACCGTATATCCGTTCTACAGACTGTGTGAGGAAGTTCTGTTTGCGAGCGCTCATTCAGGCCGCAAGACCTCTGTCCATACTCAGTGCTGGTGTTCACACGTCATGCTTTTAAAGGTGGAGTGGACCGAGAAGAAGCCCCAGCAGCTGTTCTGATGTCACTCGCCACTGGCGTTGTTAGCGATCCGTGGTCAGGAATCGAGGCCAGGTGGCCGGGAGTTTTTTGATGATGACCTCCGATAATTTGCAAGGGTTGGCTACGTACGGTGCGAAATAAGTTCAACGTACATAACGTCATTCTACTTTCTGGAGAATGATAATGACGGAGTGGCAGCCATAGAGTAGAACACGTCCGATCCCACATCCACCGTGGCAATGAAATCAGTTTGCGTGTCAAAGTTCAAATTACATACATACGAAAGGCCTTCATCCAAACATGAAAAAGACATGAGCTTTTGCTGATGATGATGATGTTCAGCATGCCTTCATACAGCAGCGAATTGGAAATGGACAATGACGATTGTAATTGTGAGGCCTTCATGTGGGAGTGCTGATGGTGTCGCTGCTGCTGATGCTGATGATGATGCTGATACTGCGCAACCATTTAGATGTGTCGCTTGAGAACTGAAATCGTTTTTTTTTACTTTCACACTTTCACCAAGTGGTCTTAAACGCAATCAATGAGCAGTGCACACATCCAGTAATGCCTCTCCCCCCCCCGCCTCGCTTCGCCACGTGCCCGGGTCTAACGAGTCGGTATTGAGCGATCACATTCAGGGCGCTTAGGAGGCGCAATTAAGATTGGTGTCGCAGGAGGCGGCGCGTTGCTTGCGATGGCCACGAGTCGATGGGCCACCAAACACCCCTCTTCATTATATTATTAACGATCCCCAAATCAAGTTGAAAGCGCGTGTGCGTTAGGCCCTGTCCGACCGTCCGTTCTGTCCGCGGTGGGGTGGTAATGTAGACGATGAACCGGACCGTGGTATGAAGTTAAACTAATGATTATTTGGACGATGCTATTGCATTGGCAGCGGGGCTCGAGCACAATTAACAAAAAACAAACTCAACTCATTCGTCGACAACGCCGTGACCCTGAATGAAAACATACAAATATGTGGCAATGTATCGGGCAACTGCCCTTCTTTATAGCGCATGGGGCCTTCTTAATTCGCTATTAAAAAGGGGCATTGCCCGAAACGTCCCCTATGATATATTTTTTTTCTTTCAACGCAATGTTATTGACGAATGTGTTGAGGTTTTTTTCGATAGCATAGATTTGTGTTGCTATTAGGAGCTTGACCCTAGACACAGCCGTATGTACTTGATGTGCTCAAGAAGTCATTTGTAAGGCCTGGTTAGTTTCGTAATTATATCGAGTCCGTCTCTGCTGGCAGCAATCGGTTAAGCAACTTCTCGCAACCGGTTGCAGGTGCGTGCAACTGATTGCCTACGTATGCGACTGGGCTTTTACGAACGCTGCGCGCTTGGTCTGCCAATTGCTGAAAGCGATGCTTTTGGTGTCACAATAACAGTAATAACGATTTTAACTTGTAACCCGGCATCCCACCACATCATTTCGCTCACTCTCGTAGAGGCAACTTGCTGTCTCGCGCGGCTTCGCTTTGTGCGCTCCCTTTTTCTTTTCGGAACGCTCTTCTACCCGCGTAAAGCGAGGCAAGCTCGTGATTGGCAAGTGTGGCTGTATGGGAGCTTCTTTCATTTGTGTGTGTGTGTGTGTTTTTTTTTCCCTCCGCAACGGGCACAGCGCGAGGGGAATGAGTTATCGATCTGTTTGTGCATGCTCCGCTTTTTGGGTGATGCTTATTTATTTATTTACTCAATAGTTTTTTTATCTATATATATGGATTGTCGGCTGGCCATAAACCTTCGAATCCTCTTTTTTTATTTATTTATTTATTAGTGGCACGAGATGCCCCCCCCCCCCCCCCGCGAAGCGTTGATGGCAACCCGCGCGGCCAAATGCGATGCTCCTGCCGCGTACGGTGAAGTATGGTCAAACAGAGTCCACGACTCACGCGGAGCGTGCGCGCGGAGGAGGGAGGCCTTCATCCAGCGGCGGACTGATCATGGCCGTCGATGATGCGTGCAAGATCCCATGCCACTCATTCCCCACGCATCCAACTCACGTCGACCCATCCTATGTGCCACGGTGCATTTGAGAGACAGTCGACTGTGTTGACAGGTGTGCCCATCCGCCTCCCCCTATAGGTGACACAAACCGTTTGGGCAAGTGCCGTTAGCAAGCACGATGGGATGGGCGGCCGACAAACGCCACGCCCGGCCGCCTTTGCCCGCCCAGCGGCGATGTTTACAAATCACACGAGGTATTATTTTGTTTAGGCTGAGCCGACCTAGGGGAGGCGCAGGACCGGTTCAGACATTTGGCACGAAGATCAATTTACTCGTGCTCGGGGAATCTAACTCGATTTTCCAGGTGGTATTGCGCAGTGCGCTAATCACTGCGCCACCGCTCCCCCACGTGTCGTGCATCTCTCGGCACAGTTAAAGGTGCGGCCCCGAAAACGACTCGCCCACGCCACTGCTGGCTGAAAAGCTTCCACTAGAGGGAGCTCTCCAGAGGCCCTCTGGACGGTATTTTCCCCAACTCTTCCACGCTTGGTCAGACGTCGTGGAAGACGCGGGCGTCTACCCACACGGGTGGACATGCATATCGCCTGTATTGTACCAGAATCAGAATATGTATTGATACTGGAGGAATCTGGTGAGCTATGAAGCTCTTTTTGACAGACGTGCAGTAGGGGCGGGTCAGAACGTTACAACGACAAACAATACAACAAACAATACAACAAACAATACAACAAACAATACAACAAACAATACAACAAACATTACAACAAACAATACAACAAACAATACAACAAACAATACAACAAACAATACAACAAACAATACAACAAACAATACAACAAACAATACAACAAACAACACAACAAACAATACAACAAACAATACAACAAACAATATAACAAACACGATAGGATTGCAAAGTATAGGGGAGGTGAGCAAATCACTAACAAAAAAATATTTTTAAAGCAAATTTGTATCTTACCGATGGAAATTTAAGGAGCCCTGTACCATTGTTGTCACATACCGCGCCTGGAGATCGAATCTCTTGCATTGAAATTCCAGCGCGTTCAAACCATTAACACCACCAGGGCATCATCCTTCACACGCGCGCGCGCAGACATCGATCGCGCCTCCTCTCTCTCTCTCCACCCGCGCAACGGCACGCCCCCGCGTGTCCCGGGCCCCGTTCATATTTATAGCGCTCTGTGTGTCTGTGTGCACGCGTGTCGCGTCCTCGTCAAGGCAAAGACAAAGATCCCCCCGTGTAGCCTCAGCAGACTGCTTGGGGCGAGTGCTATTTGCGAGAACCTACGAAGGCCGGAACGGCACACGAGGGGGTGTGGGTGCGTGACCAGCACCACGCCCGGCCGCCTTTGTCTCCCCGGTGGGGATGTTTACGCACCGCGCAAGGTGCTAATTTGAGGCTGAGTCGACCTAGGCGAGGCCCGAGAACCAGGCTCAGATAATCGTCACCGGTGTTGGCGGAATCGACCCCGGAGGTCGCCGGATTCGTAGCGCGGCAGCGCGCTAACCGCTGAGCCACCGCTCCCTCCCCCCCACCCCCCACGTCACTACACACACGCGCGCACGCGCACACGCACGCACCTACACACACGCACACGCGCGCGCGCACTGCATTCAGCGCACCGAGCGGACCGGCGTGGAGCAACGCGCGCAGCACGCGGGCGCAGAGCGGAGCGGATCGAGCGAGAGGAGAGAGCAGCGCGCGGTTCAGCAACGGCAGCGACGAGCGACATCGGGGGACGACGACGACGACGACTTCCAGCGACCGATTTGCCACGACGGATCGAGCAATGGGATTCTCTGTGAACATCGCCAATTACGAAAAGCAGGTTTGTCGTGCGGGCGTGCGCGTGCGCGCGCAATGTGTGTGTGTGCACGTGCGTGGACGCGTACGATTTGTCTGAATCGCTCATGGGTCTACCCCTAGGTCGACTCAGCCTCAAATGAGTACCCTGGTGTGGTGTGTGAAATATCGGCGCTGGGGAGACAAAGGCGGCCGGGCGTGGCCACGCACTGCCTCGCGTGCCGTGCCGGCCTTCGTAGGTACCTCGCTAACAGCACTTTCCGCAACAGTGTGTTCAGGCTATACGGGTGGGGGGGGGGGGGGGGGGGGTGGATCTTTGTATGTACATTGGACTTCTTTCGCACCGTACGTAGTGTAAGCGGTTAGCGCGCTGCACTATGAATCCAGCGGACCCGAGTTCGATTAGCGCTCACGGCCAACATCAGCGGCAATCATCTGCACCGTTGCTGGGCCTCCCCTAGGTCGACTCAGCCTTGTAAAACTACTCGGTGCAGTGTGTTGGTTACCTTAATAGGTGCTCGCTAACCGCACTTTCCCCAGGTCGGTGAAAGCTGCACGGGAGATCGTTGTAAACAGCGGGTGAGCTGCATTCAGCCGTGCAACACTGTTGGCCGTGCTGGCAGCGGCGTCGGTAGCATTCCTCTGCATTCACACAATCGACGTGCCTCTGTGTGCTCGCGTGTAATTACTCTACCGCGGAGAAATCGTGTTGTTCTATCAGTGGAACTCCACCGAGTCTATGTAATGCACATTACCGCGAGTGAGCGAGCGAGTGGGAAGATTTATGTTCCAGTGATGTAGTTCGAGAGGACCCGACGATCTGAGTGACTGATGTATGATGTAATGGTATTCTTAGAAGGGCTAAAGAGCCGAGTGACTGCTGTGATTTTTAATTATCTTCTAGAGTGGCTATGGATCTGAGTGACTGTTGTGCATTCCAGTGATGTTCTACAAGGGCTGGAAATCTGAAATTCGAAACAAGCGTATTCAAATATACGACAACATGTTCTGTAACTCAACCACTAATTAAATAATTGTTAGCCATGATCGGTCCACTGCTGGATGAAGGCTTCCGAAATCCGCAGCCACCTCTCGATCCTACGATGTAGCAATCTATCCCGGCACCTACACGAAACTTGATCGCTCCATCTCCTCGGTGGACGTATCCATCTTCTACTCTCAGGCTTCCACTCCGTTGTTATTCCCCAGAATAATAAGAATGGCATTATATCTTGCCTTGTAACTTTCGTGACCACAGGAATTCATATTTTTGGGGTCTTTCGTTAAAGTCACGTGGATAGGTTCATAGGTTTGTTACCTTTTTTAAACCTATCTACGTGACTTTACCGAAAGACCCAACGGATAGGAATGGCATTATGCATGGGTGTTGAACTTATTTTGCGCTGTGCGTAGCCAACCACGCTAATCGGAGGCGTGGGGGGGGAGGGAGGACAATAATCTGAACGCAAAAAGCAGTTCTAAAGAAATGAGTTTCGTCAATCTAGATGATGATGATTTAAAAGAGTGCAGCTCCCAGTGGCTTCCTAACATCGGAAGGGAAGAGCGTTCCAGACGGCCGCGGAAGCGCATCCGAAAGCGCCAGCGTGCGATGCGGTGACCGCCGCCTTTGTCGGACGGTCAGCCAAACGCCGCCGCCGCCGCCGCCACTGCCGCCGCTGCTGCTGCTGCGAGGATGACCGGAATCCGCGTGATGGTTTAATGCTCCTTGGCGAGGCATTTGCGGTTCCAATCGATTGACCCTCCCCGCGTAGAGCGTTGCCACTTTGCTGGCCCAAACCAATGCTCGTGCGATATAAGAGCGGCCGGTGCAATGCCCAGAGTGGAATGGAGCTGTCCACGGTGCGAGGTGTAGACTCGCATGCAGAATCATAGACGCACACACAGAGACCCGTCGACTCCCAGAGAGCCTCATAGATTCGCGCAGAGACCCATAATTGAATGAAGTGAGCAGTGGCCGTTAGTATGCGGTGCATGGGTTTGAGATATAAAACGCGCACGGAGAAGCATAGACGCGCACACAGACTCATAAGATTCACACGGAGCCTCATAGATTCGCACAGAGACCCATAGACTCACACAGAGCCTCACAGCTTCGCACAGAGACCCACAGTACACTGTTGCCGTTGCTATGCGGTCCGCGGTGCGAGATTGGTCACACTCTGGGCTCTTCTGAGTTGTCCACTGGTTTAGGAGATGGTAGCCTCTGACCGCCGTGCTGGACATCTGAAAAAAAAAACCCTTCATAGCTCATCGGATTCCTCGGGTAGAAATATTCTTGCTTCTGATTCTGGTTCGTAATGCAGAGTGTGCGTGTGTGATGTGCGGAGATTGAAACCGAGAGGTTGCATTGTGCCGCGTTCGCCGCTCGTTCCAGCGGCACGCGGTTCGAGCCCCTGAGTCAATGAGGCCGCCCCGGTCAATGACGCCGCTTCGTGCTGTGTGACCGTGAATGCCACGCGCCGTCTGCGTCACGGCGACCGTTAAACGTCACGTGGCGTTGATTAGTACCTCGATGAGCCCAATGCGTGCGGGCGTCACGGCCCTAAAGGTTTCTCCAAATCTTGATTTGAAGCTTTCGTGACTGCAGGAATCCATACTCTTTGGTTCTTTCGGTTAAAGTCACGGAGGTAGAAAAATTATAATAGATCACGACGTTTCGGTTGTTCCACCTGATGACGATTGCTTGTGTTGCGATCGAAACGTCGTGATCAATTATTTTTTCTACCTACGTTTCTCCAAATGTGGAGCTTTTTACAGTGTCCACAGAAGAGGTTTTCTGGGTGAGACCGCGTAAAAAAATATAAATGTTGTGTCGTTAAACCCGCCACCGCCCGACACAGCCAATTAGTAAGGGTTGTCACGCAAACAGAACGTGCCACTTCGTTACGAGTACAGCACACCGGCGTGTTGGAGAGTAAAAATCCACAACGTTTACAATTCGAGTCCGACGTTCCATTTTACAGTCCTCGCAAATGACCTCCGCCGAGTACACCCAAGCACGTGGCGACGTCGCGCCCCCACCTTGTGACGCGACCGCAAGGCGGCCGCTCATTGGTGCAGCACGGCGTCTTGCTTCACGGCGGCGGCGATGCTTGCGGTGGTAACCACGCGCGCTATGAGTGAATGGCGCTAATTGCCAAACGTGAGGGCTATAGGAGCGGTGCCTCGCCAATGGACGACCCTCCCCCCTCCCACCCCCGGTCTCTTGGTGAACGCGGACGTTGGTTGCACACGAGGCTGTGCCGTCAGCAAATGCGGCGGTGGCGGCTGATGATGATTGATGGCGCAACGTACACACACACACGCACGCGCGCGCACGCATTTCACGACTCACGTGTCTGTGTGTGTGTCTCTGTGTGTGTGCGGAGCGGTAGTGTAGTGTTTAGCGCGCTGCGCTACGCACCTGGCGGCCCGAGTTCGAGTCCCGATCACGGCCAACACCATCGACAATTATCTGAACCGGTCGTGGGCCTCCCTTAGGTCGACTCAGCCTCAAATGGGTACCTGGTGCGGTGTGTGAACATCGCCGCTGGGGAGACAAAGGTGGCCGGGCGTGGTGTTGGTCACCTACCCCCTCGTGTGTCATGCCGGCCTTCATAGGTGCTCGCTAACAGCACTTGCCTCAACAGTCTGTTCAGGCTATACGGGGGATCTTTGTCTTTTTCTTTGTGTGTGTGTGGTGTGCAGACGGGAAGCCGTGGTGTAGTGGTTAGCGCATTGTGCCCTGAATCTGTTGAAACCCACGTTCGATTCCCGCTCACGACCAATGTCAGTGGCGGATATTTGAACCCGTTCCTGGGTCTCCCATAGGTGGACTCAGCCGTAAATGGGTACCTGGTGCGGTGTGTAAGCAGCAGTGGGAAGGCAACGGCGGCCAGGCATAGGGCTGGCCACCAATCCCCTCGTGTGCCGTGCCGGCCTGAATGGGTGCTCGCAAACATCACTTGCCCCAACAGTCTGTTAAGGTGGTACGGTAAATATTTGTATTTTACGTGGCATCTCCTTCCCAGCGTCAATACATCCCGCTCACTGCACGTAATGTATCATCGGACACGAGCGATCCACTGCTGGATGAAGCATACCCCCGCAATCCGCTTGGGGGCCGTCCATAAATGACGTCACGCACCTAGGGGGAGGGGGGAGTCAGACATTTGTGACGATGTGTGACGAGGCGGGGGGGGTGGTTGAGAAATGTGACGTCACATCAAAATGCGCAACTTTAAATAAATATAGACAACACGTTCTACTTAATTCAATAGATAATATATATTTTTTATAAATGTTTTCTCCTACAACATCAGAGTGCAGCGCCACATTAAATACGTACTACAATGACAATAGTTTAAAGCGATTTGAAGCATGTTTTTTTTGGGGGGGGCGGGGGGGCAGAGCTTTGTGACGTCATATTTGAGGGAGGGTCTGACTTTTTGTGACGCCGTGTGACGAGGGGGGGGGGGAGGGTAAAAAAATCGTCCAAAATCGCGTGGCGTTATTTATGGACGGACCCTTAGCACCTGCACGCGAGCTGATTTCATCGCCCTATCTCCTCGGTTGAGGCACTCTCGGACGCGTTCCATTCCTTGGCTGCCACTCCATCATCAGTCTTGACCATCGCGCCCCCATCGTCGCTTATTCTAGCCACGTGACCTGCCCAAGCCCACTGACTTTTCCTGAGAGTTCAAACGAGGTCAGCAAACCCGCGTACCTTCCCCGTGTTCCACCTGCTACCTCTCAATATAAACTAAACTATAAACAATTGTGTTATTATTATTATTTTTCAAGGTAAGGTCCACTGAGCGATGTAGCTCTTTTTTCAGAAGCCACTTGGCCATTAATGGTGGCTCAACGAAGTGGGACTGATCATCATCGTGTGGAAATTTATAACAGCAGCAAAATACTCTAAACGCGTGATGTTGAAATCCACACGACCACCGGAATAGAGAGACACTGCAAACTCCAAATGTACAGCAGGCGTCACGGTCGGGATCGAAGTCACGACCTCAT